GAAGTAGTGTAGGTTCGAATTAAATCAAAATAAAAATATAATTTTTTTGAAACCGAGAATGGGTGGGGTCCCCTAAATGCAATTTTGTGAAGAAGAATTTTAAAATGGCTTTCGATACAAAGTTCGCCGGTCCCTCATTAGTATTAGTACTTTTTAGGGGTATTTTGGTGGTTTTTGGTTGTAATTTACAACTTTTAGTTCTTATTGGGTAGCAAATCTCTCAAAAAAAAAAAAAGAGTAACCCCCAATTTTGGGTATTTTGGGGTTCTTGAGCGCGTTTTTAAGTAGAATTCGCTTAAATTTGTACATTTCAAGTATTTTCTACCGAATTTGCTGTAATTTAGTTATTTGTGTTCTCCATGGGTAGCAAATTTCTCCACTAAAAACAATAAATATCGGTCATTTTTTTAGGTTAGCCCCCATATGAATGTACCACCAAATTTTCGGTATTTTGGTGTTCTTGAGAGCTTTTTCTACCATATCTTCCACCCGAACTTTTTTCCGATATAGTCGTATTTCACCATAGTAGGGTAATACTCCGTACTCAAAAGTATGGAATTCTAAGATGATTTAGCCATCTGTTGTAATCATTCTACCTTTGGAGTATATAAAAATTATAAACGAGATAAAAATTAGAACGTCAGTTCGAGAATGAAATATATCGGCCCGCACTTAGGTCTAGATATAGCTCCTATAAATATTTTCATTCGATTTGCAAATTGTTTACCCGATAAAAATCTTAGGATGAGCCAAACTGGTGTACTACATAGATTATACTACATAGATTTAGTGTGTCTCAAATAATAAAAGTGTTAGAAGCAACAGTTTAACAATAAATTTTGATTTTGTAAAATATGATTGGTATAAAATTGTGGGCTCAATATATTGACGTGTAGTGTATCCATAACCTAAACTTGTTCCATAAACAATATTGTTCTTTACAATTGTTCTTGACGGAAATTAAAATTGTGTAGGCAAATTGAATAAAAAATTATTATTTTTATCCATTTTTGATATTATATATTCAAAATGTGTGTATCTGCATAAACAAATAATAAACATCACGCAACATTTTTGTTAGTAATTGCTTTTATTTATTTCACGTTTTTATTACGATATAAAATTAAATTTTACATTATCATCATTTATTTTTTAATATCGGTTACAAAGTAAATAAACTAGAAAATTCAAGACTGTTTATTATTTAAAAATGTTTATATGTATTTATATATATGAATACGCATTTTGCATTTTAATTAATTATATTAATTAAAACAATTATTTCGTTTCGTTTGTATATGTATACAACTATTACAATTTGTGAATTTCTAATTAAACAAAATAATAAAATGTTTGTTGTTTTTACGTTTTTATAATTACAATATATTGTCTTCTAATCGGTATTGATTATTGCTAAATAAAAGAACACATTTTGTATATTGTATTTTTAGGACGGATTTGATAAAGGACAACAACAATGCGTGTGGTTCCTATTCACTGCAATAACATATATGTATTTATATGAGTAAGTACATAATATATATTTATTTTTAATATAATAATTGTTATTAATTTATTAAGGTAGTATTTAATACTTGTTTTTAATTTGCTTTGAGTGTGTGTATTTTTTATTTATTTATTTTGTTCTACATTGGTTGTTTTTAAAAAGCTTGGTAAATTAAAAAAAAATAAAATAAAAGAGCATGAAGAAATAATTGCATTAAGGGTCCCCACCACCTATTTTGTTGATTTTACATATAAGAGTTATTTCAAAAAAGATTTTGTTATTTGGATATTATAAGGCTTTTAAAAAATATATTCATTTTTTATAATTCAATAGTTTCCAGTAATTCACATATATTTTTCTTTTTCGTTGACTCAAATATTTTGAATTGTTGAAAAGTATTGAATTGTTGAAAAGTATTTATATAATTTTTTTATTTATTATTAAAAGAAACGTAATATAAAAATGTTTTTGTATTTACATATATTTGTATTAATGCTTCCATGCTCTGTGGAGCTTGGAATGGCAAGATTTTTGTTTTTATTATTTTAAGTAAAATATATAATTTTTTTAATATTTGTGACAATCATATGCATTGTTAGCTTCATTCTGGAAAAACTACGAAATTGAATAAAATTGTTTTAAACCATTTACAATTGACCAGAAACGGCCAGAATTGGCCAACAGGAGAGGTATCGTGTTCCACTAGAACAATGCCAAACACATCTACAATGACTCTCTAGAAACTTAGGGAGCTCGGTTAAGAAGTTTTAATGCATCCGCCATACAGTCCGGAATTGGCACCAAACAATTATCATATTTTTCTTGCATTGCAAAATTTCTTAAAAAATTTCTATCTAGAGAGGATTGTGAAAATCGACTACTAGAGTTTTTTTTTTGCAAAAAGAGAGAGACGCATTATGAAGTTTCCTTTAAAATGGCAACAAATCATACAACAAACAGAAGCATGTTAAATAAAGTCCTATAGTTCATATAAAAATAATGGATTTCCTTTTCTCCCACCTAATATTATGTTGGCCCTGATTCGATTTAAATATATAGACCAAGAATTTGATATCCGGTTTAACATTGTTCAGATTACCGAATTAATCATGGACCTGTACATCCAGGTAAGATAAAAATTACCAAAATCGTCGTTAAGTTCGGTCAGTATGCATTTTTTATACCCTCCACCATGATGTGGACATTATGAATACCTAAATGATATGCCATGGTATATTGTCGGTAAGAAGAATTGGAATGCACCGAGAACACAGAATATTAAATTAGAGCCAACTAAGTCGAGAAATGTGTTCATGCCTACTCCGAAACTTGATTCAATACTGATAGTTTTTGGTAGAGAGATTTTTTACGAAATGAGAAACCAAAATACAAAATTACTAGTAACAATTTTGGTGCTAAATTCCGAAGCTTTCGTGCATTTGGACTTCAACGAGGATGTTGATCTTAGAATAGGTGAACATACAAATCAACCTTGGAGAAATGGGAATTTTATGGCAGTCAATTAATTTTGTATGGACTTCTATGATGTGGCCTAATTGCTCCACATCAATATTTTTCCGATCTTCGCAAAATCCTTATAGGAAGTTGATCTTAGAATAGGTGAACATACAAATCAACCTTGGAGGAATGGGAATTTTATGGCAGTCAATTAATTTTGTATGGGCTTCTATGATGTGGGCTAATTGCTCCACATCAATATTTTTCCGATCTTTGCAAAATCCTTATAGGACCTATTTTGGAACAAGCAAGATATCTGGGCATTTTTTAATTTTAACAGTATTTTTTCTAATATTTGAAATCAATAGTTCGACGGCACTGATCATCGGATTACCCTACCCACAATACGCCTAGACTTGAAATCCAAGGTGCGAAATATTGTTACAGTACGCCTTCATTTTTCTATAATGGGAAATGTTGGGATTTGTTTGTCGTATATATGGACTGACAATTTTCCAGGATCAGGCAAGAAAATAAATTTTGTCATTGCTCACGCAAATCCATATCATTTTCATTTTTTCAATTAATTTTTCTTTCATTGTGTATCGCCTTATCCTCTGATGGGTTCCAATGAGTGTTACATCACCCACCAATTGAGAACTAGTCAACTTTTCTCTATCGTCACAGAGTTGTTGTGGTGGTTCTGTGGGCCTTCGTGGGGTGAATTATAATACCGATCTTCCCATTTTGGGTTCCATTTGCAAACCCTAAACACTTCAAATTTCTGAGAATTTACCTCAATGTTGTTGGTCACATTCGGTGGGGTAATTGTGTATCTTAACACCCCATGTTGGATCGGGTACTGATGGGGCCAATGATTTCGATAACCATACATTTATGCTATTTATTGTCATCAATGCTCTTGTTTTCATAAAAAGTACGCAAGTATATTTTTAATGTTAAGTAAATGGAAAAGGTGACAATATTTTTAAGTGGAATACAAATTTTCTAGTTTTTAATTAGAACCATATGTTGGACTGGTGGTGGCAGTGGTATTTCGGTATGTGTATATCAGGTGTGTACGTAAATTGGTAGTAACACTTTCACGACCCTCACGTGATCCCATAATAGTCGATAGATTATTACGTTCAGGCTTTCGATATCAGATGTCTGAGGTGGTCAACATTAAATATTTCTGTATTACAAAGTTAAGAATGAAGCTAACAATGTTTTCTTAAATAAGGAGTTTTTCTATACATCAGTAACAATTTATAAATCAATTTACACCATTTCCTTATTCAAATTTTCCAAACGTAATTTTTGTGACTTAAAAAATGTTCGTTTAAATATTCACTTTAATAACATTTTTATATTAGGTTCTTTTTTATTGTTTCTTGTCCACCTGACTATATAAAATATAGTTAGCAGGTAAAACAAGTTACATTAAAACTAAAATTAAATTACAGCTAAATAAAAAAGGAAGTTAAGGATTTTGTTTTTTACACAATCAAGTTTTTAAGGCAATCATTCATTTTGTTTAAAAGCAATTATTTATTACATTTTAAATTTTAGTATATTTTTTGTTTGTATTGTTTATGAGTCAATTGGCACTTGTTTTAAATTACAACTATAATTATATTAATATAAAAATTAAAAAAAAAGAAACAGATAAAATAATAAAATTATAAAAAATTTGCTCGCAGTATTTATATATTCGAAAATGGAAATGTTAAATGAAGCATTAGAGAAGCATATAAGGAAAAACAAAAATAAAAAATAAAAGGAATTAAATGTTGCTCCTGGCTTTAAAAGCTATGGAGACAACAAGTATAGACCAAAATAAAAAGGGCACGTAAAATAGAGAGCATAGCTTTGCTAGAAAATATCTTTAGAGAGGATCCTACATTTTATTTGTTTTTGAATATAATATTGTATTCTAAAACTAAGCGGTTCCTGCCGCCCAATTTTGTTATTCCGTGTGTTAAATTTTTACATTATTTTTTGATTATTGATCCTCTCCTGCCGATTTACTATATTACCACTCTCTGGGTCTGGCTTGAGCTTCTGTGTGATAAGATGATGATGTGCGTCTAGTCTCGACATATTCGTGTTGGGTTTGAGCTACCATGCGGCCGGATCTGGGTGGTGGTGGAGGAGCTGGCACCCGGGATTGGAATGTGGTCTACAAAAACGAAATGAATTTATTTAAATTCAAAAATATTTCCTTCTCATACTCACAACCATTCTCTGTGATCTGGTGGCAGTTGGTGTACCCTCGGGCGAAGACATATCATCCGGAGCAGCCCAGTGTTCAGTGAATTCACTAGCCGATCGAGCCAATGATGGATGACTTACGGAACGATGGAATGAACGTCTCTCCGACATATTGTCATCGTCATCGTATTGCATGGGATAATACGAACTGGCATTTGACATATTATCCATGCGTCCGAAGTCCACTGTTACCTCAGACATTGAACGGAAATCATTGTGGTCGGTATTATACGAAGTACGCGATGAACGACGTGACCGTTGCATATTAAAGGCATTCGGATGTATTGGCATAGATGGATCGTTACGTATGGTGCGTACACTTGAACCACCATCGCTATCATATTCATACAGCGTTGGCAATGAACTACGTCTGGAACGTGTATCCCATGGTTGGGTCTTTCTATTACGCCTCGGTGTCCTCATCTCAACATCACCCTCATCATCGGAGGGTGGTGCTAATATGCGTATAATTACATCCCAAGTTTGTGGTTCGAATATACGTTCATATCGTGTATCTGAACGGATGCGTTCAAAATCTTCCTTGACCACAGCCTCAGTTAACATGGTACGCAACGATGACTCTGTGGTTATAATCTCCTTCCATTTGGCCTTATCATCATAGCTTATGTAGCGACTCAAAGCATGAACACTAGAGTGTACCGAGCTGGCATCATCGGCCTCTGACATTTCTGGTTCTTCCAAAATTCTAATCAATACATCCCAATTGGGTACAGCCTTATCCTCTGGTGGCAATTCAATGGGTTTCATATTACCCACCAATTGAGGACTGGTCAGTTTTTCCTTATTGTCATAGATTTGTTGTGGTGGTTCGGTGGGTCTAACGGGGGGCAATGTCAATTCTGATCTTTCCATCTTGGGAGTCAATGTCAATCCCGATACACTTGAAATATCTGAGAAGTTCTCCCATTGTTGTTGTTCACGTTCGGTTGGGTAGTTGCGTATCTTAACATCCCATGATGGTTCGGGTACTGGTGGTGCCAATGGTTTCGGTTTAGCCTTATATTCGGTAACCTTACGTTTATGCGATTCAATGTCTTCAATGGTCTTCTTTTCGGTAATCGTACGCAAATAGACATCATCCACAGTGTGGGAGGTGATTTGTGGTTTCTTGATGACAATTGGTGGCTCTGGTGGGATATATTCGGTTTCAACAAAATGACTGCTGTCAACCATTTCGGCAACAGAATGTAAATCGGGTGCCCTAGAGGTAACATCGGTAATTTCGCTTAGAGCTGGACCATCGGTGTAATCCGACCATGTCTCGGGGCGTCCATCGACCATTTCATGATGTGTACGTGTGTAGACGGAGAACACAGGTTGGACTGGTGGTGGCAGTGTTATTTCCGTATGCTGGGGTGCGCTGTGTATATCAGGTGTGTATGTAAATTGAGTTTGCATTGTCTCTTCTTGACCTGGCAGTGATTCCATGGTAGTAACACTTTCACGATCCTCATGTGATTCCATAATAGTCGATAGATTATTACGTTCAGGTCGTAGTGTAGCCACACTTTCGGTATCGGATGTCTGTGGAGATGGTGGTGGTGGGGGAGATTTTTTAACACGCACCTGGACATCGAATTTGGGTGAGGAGGCTTCCTTTACGGCAATTGGATGACGTGGTATAGCTGTGGTTATAGCATTGGCAGCTTGCAGTTCTTGGGTATGGCCGTAATGATCGCTGTAAATGCTGGAAGTTTCTTGGACGAAGGCGCGGTTTTCGAAGCTTCCGGCGGAGCTAACTGGTAGAGATCTGTGGGGAAGTGGGTAAAAATAAACATGAGATGAAACATTTTTTAAAAATATGTTTTCAGATTTATATCAAGGCGGGGATTTTTTTCAAATATTTTACATACCTCGTATCAATTTCTTCAATTTCGGAGTGAGATTCACTTGGATAATCCGAAGGTATAAGAGCTCCTTCGCTACCCGATGAACTATGCACAGCAGCTAATGGGGCATGAGCTCGTGGTATTTTAACTCCCTCAAATTCGCCAATGCCACCCATACTACTACCGCTGAGTTTAGTAATTTCCGAACCACTTCCCATGGACATAGGAAGGCGACGGACCACTGGTATGGGACGGCTACGCAGACAATAATAGGAAACGGCCAAGCCCAACAGAAGCAATGTAAGGAACATAATAGCACAAATAATCATCAAAATCTGTATACCCTTCAAGGGGGGATGGATGATGGCAGCTTTATCGACAGGATTCAAACTAGAAACAAAAAGTAAGAAATACCCCAAATGAAAAACAATTTTGTTTTGGGAAAATCCCTATTTAAAACATACATGGGAGCTGGTAAAGCTGGTGGCAGTGAGGGTACCGGTGGTGGATAACGGCATACAATTGTTATAATTTCATCGCCATCCATTTCCAAATTTGCATGAAAACGTACAATTATATTATTGGTGAAGACACGTGTTGGATTCTGCAAAACGAAAATATTAAATTTTTTGAAAATGGGTCATTGTTGTAGCGGAATTTGCATTTGCATTGCATTTTTTCAAACCACTAACCTGTATAGTACCACATCCCTTCAATGGCAGTTCCAATCTATAACTTAATGCACCTTTACCATTGACACGGCATGCACTGCTGCGATCATAATCGGCTTGTATGATGCCATGAAATGGCTCATTGAATTTCATGTCCACCTAGGCAGAGGAATATATGGGGGTAAATGTAATTAGGTATTGTCAGTATACATATATATGATGGCTTGTGCAACCAAACACATGGTCATTGAAGTATGCAAATTTTTTTGTTTATATTATGAAAAATCATTTTTATGTTCTCATTTTTATGTATGTGAAAAAATTTCGATTTTTCCACTATTACTCACTCACCTGCATAGAACCGGCTGCACAATTTAGTGCGGCTTTTGTGCGATTTAAAAATATCAATGGACTAATATCGTCTAGTTTGGTAACCTGCAATGAATGGAAAATTAGAAAAAATGGTTGCATGAAATCAGTTGGAAAAATCAAACAGCAAATGAAAATAGTTTTAATAAATTTAAAATAGAAGATCTGCGGTGCTTAAATGCGTCATTTGTTGCTAGGCAAATTTTTGGTGTTATGGAAAGTAGATTTTCAATTGAAAACTATGCTCAACGAATTCTTTTCACAAATCGTTAAAATAAAATTATTATTATTTTTTTTTTTTTTTTTTTATTTAAAAGCCAAATTTAATATAGGAAATCCCTCTGAAGCCTTTGGAAGAACAAGTATATAATAACTATGGCGTTTTCATTCATGGCGAATCATAGATCCATCTTCATGAGCCCGAAACAAAACATTAATCTACGTTGTTGGTCTTCAAAGTCGAGCCAATTTCAATACTAGTTATTCTTGGAAGAAACTCTTCCTCATATGGAAATAAAACCTATAGACGAAGCCTTAGATTCATATAATGATTTTGACCAACTTCGGTAAAGACCTTTTAGACTTATTCTGTAAAATCTGAAAATATTCTAAGTGACTTAATGGTGCGGATAAGGTCAGAAAATATTTGGAATCATTGCAGCTCAATCATAGAGGGTGCTGTTGTTCAGCACGGACATGCGAATGAATGGTGGAATCAAGGCAGATGCAGAGATATCGCTGACTTCATAGATAATATAGTCAATTTTTCGTTTGAAAAACAATTTATATAGGCATAATTATAAGCAAAGAACTACAGCCGCTAGTGTAGATATTTCCAAAACGTTCGTCAGTGTGTGTTATATCAGATGCAGGAGCAAGCATATAAAGTACAAATATTCGCCTAAACAAATATATAATACCAATCTCCAATTTCCTTGAGAGTTGGAATGTAAGAGTTAATGTCGGAAAATATGAGGACAATATGTTCAAAGGGCTTTATTCCAGTGCCAGTAGGCAGCAATTACTACGAATTTTCTAGTTGATGACATAGGACGTACGGCGGTCAATTCTGTGTGACACACCGAATTTCCCTTATTTTCGGTATTATGAAGGTGTTAAATGCATTCTGCCATCAAAGTGGCTGTAATTTGAAATTAAATTGCATATAATTTTCAATGTTTTGAAATAACCCTCATAGAATGGTCTCACACCTTTTTCGCTATTCTTAAAATTCAATAGAATAATCCATATTCGAATATGGGGAATATCGGCCCATTTCTTGTAGTACCTCCCCCACAAAATGGTCAACATTGGACTATCCGATTTGAAACAAACTTTGTACAACTTATTACCTTAACCAAATTTAGATCAAGTCCGAAGATGGGACCATTGGTTTACTCCTTCTGGTACCTCCTCTAAAATGGTCAACATTTTCAATATTTATAAATTCAATATCAGGCAAATGAAATGTCCGATTTGAACCAAACTTTGCAAAACCTATTATCTTTATCAAGCACAGATTAATTCTGAAAGTTGGAACCAGTGGGTCCTCTCCTTCTGGTACCTCCGCCTTATTGATTCAATATTTTATAAACTTGTATATTTAATTTGTGTATCGAAACCATATAACACCAATTGACACTTTTTGGACTTATAAAGAATATTTTTGGAAAGTCCATAGTGCGTGGATTTTTAAATAATATTTTTTGGAACGTGGAAGAATAATTTTGGAGTTCCATAGACCACGCTCTATGGAGCTTCCATAGAGTGTATATTTTTTAAAGAATATTTTTCGGAGCTTTCATAGAGCGTCGATTTTTTTAAGAATATTTTTTTAGCTTTAATTGAGCATGGATTTTTTAAATAATATTTTTGAAGCTTTCATAGAGCGTGTTTTTTTAAGAATAATTTTTTTAGGGAACTTCCATAGAGCGTGGATTATTTAAACAATGGCTGTTTAAGCTTTTATAGAACATGGATTTTTTAAAGAATATTTTATGGAGCTTCCATAAAGTGCAGATTTGTTAATGAATATGTTTGGAGCTTTCACAGAGCGAAATGTATATATTATACCCAGATTTAGGGTTCTGATCTGATACCCTCCAAAAATGTTCAACCTCAAAATCAATTCAATTTTCCAAACAGACATTTTGACTAATTTATTTTATTTTTTTCCTTTTAAATGCCTGGGCGTAAGTTATATGGCTTTGGCTTAATATGAGTAGACCCACTGACCATAATATAATATCAGGAGGCTTGCAATCAATACTTATTTTGACTCACTCAAATAATTTGTCAATGGTCTACTCATTCTTTACGACACACCAACAAAAAATTAGTCATCGAAAAAACCAATACATCTTTAATGTACAAACACGTGAAATCTTATTATTGGCATCTACCATCACACGTAATGAATATTGGAATGGCCGCAATGTTTTTGTTGTGCCTCTCTCTCGATTAATGAACATTTTGATTTGACTTCTTGGCTTAATTTTGCATACTGGACACGTCCATCCAGAGGTACATATCAATACGATTTTCGTTTGATTTTGCTTATTTAATATGCAAGGATTGAAATGGCGGAACAAAAAAAAAGATATATTTTTATATTGGCACCATTTTCTCTGACTATAGATTATTTGTTTGCTTAATTTATACAAGGGTGTGAGTGTACCTCATTTTCGTTACAAAATGAACATCGTTATTGTCATTAGGTACTCAATTTATCTGTAGCATTGGAATTCTATGCTGTCAGATTAAAGCGAAGTAAAAAGAATCGTGAAAATGAAATCACTTGTATATATTCTGAAATTTCTAATATAATTTACATTTTGGGTAAGTCAAGGTTGGACTTAAAATTAGAGCAATTGGAAATGCGTTCGCTAGAAATGGGTTAATTGCACGGCATAAAAATTAGTTCAAATTCCATTTAAAAATACTTGAATTTGGAATTCGTTGATTTTGATTAGGAAATAATTAAATAGGGTTATCAGTTAATATTTGTTTCTGTACAACGTGAAAATTTTTTAACATAATGAAATCTTAAATAAGCATTGTTAAAGTTTCGGAAAGATATTATCAATTGTGTTTGTGAAATTATCAATTGTGTTTATGAAATTATCAATTGTGTTTGTTAAAGAAAAATAAATCTATACACGATTATTTTCATTATAATCTTTTATTGTTGGCATTGATTTGAAATAATTTTTCCACTGGGAGACAAAAGCAAATTTTCCGTGACTGTGTAATTGGTTGTGTTTCATGCCAACAGGATTATATAAATGTCTACTAACGCATTTGTATATATGCGGATGTCAATTTATTTTTTCCCTCTCCACACATTTGTCATTTATTTGCATTCTAATGCCAAGTTTTTGCCATAAAGCCGGATATTTGGTGCAAATATTTGCTTATGAGGAAATGTCACATAACAACATGAAGTTGGCATGGGATAGCCAACATCTATAAAAACCGGGATGGAATGTTGATAATTCAAATGAGTTGAGAGAGTTAAGAAAAATAAACAAAGGCATTAATGAACACAAAGAAGATAACATAATATGAAGTCACGAAGTGTCCTTGTCAGAATTATTTTGAGGAGAAAAACAAATTTATGATTTCCCACAAAGCGTGAATTTTTGAAGAATATATTTTTTGACTTCCCACAAAACGTGGATTTCTAATGAATACATATTTTTTAATTATTCGAAATGTTTTGAATTATAAAAAAGGGGATAAACATTTCAAAATACAAATAGAAACTGAAAATGGACCTTTATTAAGGATATTATAAAGGTCCATTGTTAGGTTCAATTTTTATTATGGAATGTTTATCCTCCTTGTTTTTATTTTAATGTCCTACATTCTTCATTTAATTGTTCATTACTTTAGCAACAGTTATTTTATGGTAATAATTATAAAAGTATTTCGACAAGAAATTATGCAGACAAAAGTCTGATTCTAGAAGATTTATTAGCTACACAAACAAATTTAAATTAAAAATCAACAATTTACATAATATTATAAGATGTTTTTGCACAAGAAATAATCTTGTCAGACCAAGGTTACCACAGCTATCATCATCTAGATACCCATTGTGAAACCACACAAATGCACACATGCAGAAGGTTTTCCAGTCATTTATTTTAATTAACATCATCATCTTCATACAAAGTAATGAAGTGTTCTACTTCACAGATATGAGATTTTCTGCTAATATTACACTGCTGCCACTCCATTAAGAAGGTAAACATTACTAGAAGCTAAGAAGCAGAAGTCTTAATTTTGAACAATTTTTTGTTGTACTGATATAACAGTAATTAGTAAGGTTTCTCCCTATCATATGCGTAATAATAGTTGAAGAGTAGTTTTGAAAACAACAACAATTCCTCCTACTAATGATCTTAATTTTTATACAAGTGTGCAGTAATTGAGGTTTTCCAAATATTATGTAGTCGCACGTAATATTCACATTTATAACAGTTAGTTTTTGAGATACCCTACACAAGGGGTATTTAGGTGGTCTATCTATTGACGGATTTAACCATCAGGACAATAAGAGTACATTTTTAAAGAATGCATTAGGCAATAAGCTCGAGGACTAGCATTAGGCTATAAGCTCGAGGACTATCAGCCCAATGACCGTGGATATTTAAAGAATATTTTCTGAAATGTTTTTTTTTATATTTTCTAATGGATAATCGTCGATTTTTTAAAGAATATTTCGTAAAGGACTATAACACGAATAACCATGGATTTTAAGAAAATATTTTCGGAAGAAAGAACAGACCAAAAAGCGAATATTTTTTAAATAGATATTAGGTCAATAGGCGTAGATTTTTTAATATTTTCTGGAGGAATATTAAGACAATAAGCGTGGATTTTTAAGGAATATTTTCTGACGGACTATTAGGTCAATAAGCGTGGATTTTTAAATAATATTTTCTGAAGGACTATTAGGACTATTTTCTGAAGGACTTTTAGGACTATTTTCTGAAGGACTATTAGGTCAATAAGTGTGGATTTTTAAAGAATATTTTCTTAAGAACGAGCAGGTCATGTATCGTGAATTTTCAAAAATAATTTTGTAAAGGACTATCCGAGCTATATGTGTGGATTTTAAAGAGTAAAGACTACAAGTGTGGATTTTTGAATCAGGTCCATGTCATGACATAATTTCCATGTAAAGTTCCTATATTCGGTATTTGGTTCTAATTCTTCCGGCTGCCATTTGGATTTCCTTGTCCTTGAAGGCGAGAATCTTCGATATAGGTTAATATTTTGGCATAGCCCGGTCCCGGTATATGAAATGTTTTAACAAAAGTTTCTCATCAAAGTTTCTGTAATTTGGCATTACGGATTTTGGAATATTGAAAAATATATCTGCAAAAGATTGTCCATGTTGAGCTACATTTTATTGCAGCCGCATGTAAAAATCACGTCCCATTCGGGTGCCTTGAAGGTCTTGGCCGCAATTTCCCATCGAGGTGGCTGGAATTTAGCATTCGGTGTTCTGGTAGGACCAAAAACATATTTGTAGAATATTTTCTAAGTATGTCCATATTTTGACATAGCCACCTATATATAGACCCCGCCCTTTCTTTGTACTCTGAAGATTTTTGTCGCATTTTTCTACCAAGGTGATTGTATTTTTGCATTACAGATTTCAGGTGAATATAATTTCAAAATAAAAATTTTCGTTATTCTCTCTTGGTATTGTAGTGCTTACACAGTTCGGCGAAGTCCAAAAAATACTAAAATTTCTAAACATCTCACTTGATAATTATTATGCACCGAGATATGAAACAATAAGTACATTGCATGCATTTTTAAATTATGATTAATACTAGACATAACAAGTTATGTTGGCAAAGAAAATAATACTGAGATAATTTTGAGGAAATTTTCCGAAACAAAATCGTCTTCATACCTTTTACAAAACTTACTTAGTTCGAAATGGTTGAGAAAAAGTTTAATCGTCTTCATACCTTTTACAAAACTTATTTAGTTCGAAATGGTTGAGAAAAAGTTTAAAAGATTTTTTTATTTTTTTAATGTTTGTCATAAAAAATACGCAAAGCCATTAAAATCACACTATTCATAATCGTGAAAAGAAAAAAAAATCATTCACAAGAACATGCTGCCACACACTGCGATATTTACCTTCCTTGCACACTTCATTGTCTCTTTGCAGAAATGCAATCGCTATCGTTATACGGTCGTTTGCCTTGACAGCAAAGCGTTATTTCTCTGCCTTTTAGTATATTTTTTTTTCTTCTACTCTTTTGTTTTTCTTAACTTTGGCAAATTCATAACAAATTTTATGCGAACATTCAAAGTGTCGCCCATAAAATGAATGGAAATTCCAAACAACCCACACCTAAATCCTTAATTGTAGAAAACAATAAAATATTAAGCGCACAAAACTCAACGTCGGTAACGTCGTCGTATAATAATCAAATATTTAACACCACGTGTAGGCATACAGGGTGCAGCATAATTTCATTGGAAAAATGTCTACGAAATTTGAGAAAAAGAATAGAGATATTCTTGGAATTTAGTCACATGCCTATATCATATGCCTGCTAAAATTATAGATATATCAATTTAATTTGTATATTACAAATAAGAGAGACTACTAATACCAGGACCGAACAAATAATGTTCTTCACCACTTTGGGTATATACTAGAAGCGCTCCTGAAAACTTTTTTTAAACTTTAGTAATTTAAACCGATTTAAATTTAAAAAATAAGCCTTCAATAACATCAAATTGAAATCGATCAACTTGACTTGACTGCAATGCTTAAAAGCAGAATAAACAATATAACCATTAGGCTGCTCTGAATACGCTCATAAATGTTTTACCCCTTAATTTATTGATCCCGCTTCAAGCAGTGCAGTGAGGATTTAGGAGACAGGAACATGAGGGACCTCACACGCAAATTTCCTTAACGCGTGATATCTCCGTGAATATGAATAATTTTAGTGACTACATAACCTCCCACCTCAATTTTGACATCATTAATTACCTCCTCTGGATGGTCGGTCGAAGATTCCAAGATGAAAGAAGGCACAGGTGTAGGCGTTTTCTGTGATGAAATTTCCATCAAAAACTCACACAAAATTAATAATCATTGTAAGGTTTGTTTCAAGCACAATCATGAAGGCAGCTCAACTAGTCAAGAATAATCGGTTCAACGATTATTCTTGACTAGTTGAGTCACAAGCGACTCTTAAGGCACTCAAGTCCCTATTAATTCTAGGGCAGTTCATTACTGTAGGGAAATCTTGAAAAAAAACTCTAGCCAGATGGCGTGAAGTACTTAGTTGCAGAACCTCAAAGTCTATCTGGTTGGTTATTTTTAGACACATGTAAACATATCTGATTTCATTTTTCAATCTTAATCTTGAATCCTTCTTCTATATATATTTTTGATCAGAATAAAATTCTATGTTGAAATCTCGATAGAGCTCGTAATACTTAAGATGCTTTGCACATATATTACTCCTAAGATGTTTGCTATTGAAAATGGGATATATCGATCCCCGTTTTGGTATAGCTCCCATATTTATTTGGAATTTTTTACTCGTTTTTCAACCGAATTTGAGTTACCATGGGGTAGTAAATCTCCCTACCAAAAATGATTGATATCGGTCCACTTTCTATGATAGCTCTTATATAACTCTACCCCCCATTATTGGGAGTATTTGGGATTTTGGACAAAATTTTCTATAATGTATTATTTTGAATTCCCACCATTCTTAACCTGACTTGAGGTATCCCTATTAATTTTGATTTTTGGACACGTTTCTTCGTTCTCATGACATAGCTTGCCATTAATGGTATTTTAAATATCCACCTCAAAGTGGATGGAAAATGGTATCCGAATGAAGCCTCTGCTTATTATAGCCGTTAATCCTTTAATATAACCTTACCTTAAAGGTCGGAAATATATTTATTCTAGAGTTGCAAACGGGAAACGAAATCAATATATTATTCATACATAAGACTGAAAAAAAACATTGCCTATTGGTTCACCCTGTTTTTTTTTCTCTCGAATCTACGTACTTACGCAATGCAATGATTGCCGTCCACAAACGCAATATTCAGTTGTACCACAAAACGAATAAAGGTATTGTTGACTGCATGTGCGTCTTAAAAATTAGAAATGAACATAAAAATCTGGTTATAAAGTTTTTATATATTTTATATATATAATAAATGCAGAACGTCTTGTGATATTTTCCATTCGACGATAAATTATGAAGCCCAATTAAATTATATTTTAATAACGATTCATCAATTTTTATAGTTCATGTTAAGATTCATACGAAATCTTTAACAAAAAGGGTTTAAAGCTTTTAGGCAAATAGGAAAATCAATGAAAAGGACAATATATGTATGTGGTATGATTATTAATTGGTTAATAAATGTGGCATTTAGGAGCTGTAAATATAATTCCTTTTATACATTCCCTTTGCTTATATTCTCATCTAAACTCATTTAAAGTATTTTAAACAAGGATGCATGAAATCCAACAAATGTTAAATATATTTTTTGTTGAACATTTCCTATTAGGAAATCTCGTTTTAAAATGGCCGTACGTCCTCTATTTAATGGCCAGACAACTACAAGTAGTATCGTATACAATAAGTATATCGAATACCGTTACATACTAATATCTTCAACCGTTTCAATCTTTTTTTCTGCAGGCGTGGACATTTCCTATGACATTAGAAAATTTATAGTGAAAAGTAAACTGTTATTTTTTGTTGATTCTGTTATGGCCCTGTCTTGTTTAATATTACCAGCTTATATGACATACGCCTACCAGGCATAACTGAACCGAACAAATCCCCATATGCAAAGATTTCATTTTAAAGGATGGGCTAGCTTTCTGATCGTGGTCACAACGGCTCTGCAGCCAAGTAATACTGATGAAAATTCACCGTAACAAGAAAGCAAACAGGCATACAAAGAACAGCAACAACAATTGCATTTACTTATTTCATGTTAAGATATTTTCCATGAAATCGGACAACATGTCATGACTTTAGTTGTAAACAATGAAAATATGGTAAAATTCACTTTAAAATGTAGACATAATTCTATTGGCAGTCATCAGTGGACGGCTGCCCATACGAATGTAAGTATGTATGATTATGTGGCTTGTACTGTGTTTAGAATTGCATATATCTATCTTACCTTTCCATCGAGTGTTGCTTCTTCGGGCAGACCATTGGTTGTATAATTCCCACTATCACCATGTTGCACATAATTCGATTGTGCTGTGACATAACTAAATTGCAAAGAACTTAGAAGGATGACTAGTAAAGCCAACATGGGCCTTAATTTGATTGAACATTCTTCATTCATTGTGTTGTTGTTGCTGCTGCGGCCGTTCGTTCGTTACAGCTATTCCCGTTTGATGATGATGATGTTCGTTTTGACGTATTTCTTGACAGTGTGTGTATGTAAGGTTTCAGAGTTATCTCCTCCGAAACTCTTACTAGGATATGTTATGTATGTTGTTTTTTCAAAAATTGGTTTGCTACGTAATTTAAAGTCCGGATTTCGTCTATTTCGGGTGAATTTTCATGGGACTAGGAAGGTTAGCAATTAGACATCTGTAATGAAGAAGATAGAAAAATTAATGTTTTAATGAATCAATATTACAAAAGTAAATAGTAATCATTTGCGGATGTGATTGGTAAATATTGTAAGGTATTGTAATTCTTTTATATATACGTAAGGATTTAAAGTCCTAGACCTAGGTCCTTTGATATTGAATACGGAACATATCGGTACACATTTTTGATATAACATTTCTCAATGAGAACGTTTTAGCCACATTTTCCCAACGAAGTGACTAGAAGCAGATATTTCATATTGTCAGTTAATATACTCATTCTTATACTATTGTTCATATAGGTCCTTGGTACCTAGACAAATGCCATGTTAAGTGTTTTTACCGAGGTGACTGTACTTTGCCATTCGAGATTCTTAACCCTGCAAACGTCCAATTTTTCCACTCACGCCTTCTAAAAAATTATTCTTGCGCTGATCATTTTTAATCAATTGACATATTTCATTACTGACTGTTTTTCCTAGCTAGAGTAAACATTATCTCTTAACAGCTATTTACTTTTTCGAAAAAAACGTTCAATATATAGGTCAACACTGTACCACACTGTGGTACAGTGTATCTTGTCTTTGTACATACGTTTGTAACAGCCAAAAGAATCAATCACTTTCTGAGTCAAATTATGTATGTCTGTTAAATTATAAACAATATAGAGGAGACTGGGGTACCTTCGGCACTCTTTTTTAGAGCTCTATATCTCAGTACTTATTCAACATATATAACAACTTTATGGCTGATTATTGTCCTCTGACACTTAATTATAAAAAATAGTACCAAAAAGATATAAAAAAATAGTATTAGTTAAAAAATTTTACAGGTTTGTAAAAAAAGTCAAATTTGCCCCAACCCGGCGTAGCTACGGTTTTAATGGGGCACATTCGGCACCATAGCCATAGCCAGGTAATTGTCATCGCTATCAGTCTGGTTGAAATTCTGATCCTCTAAAGGCTCTACGTGGTTTTAAAACGCCACACAATGTTTGAATTATAGGACTTTATTTTCCAGCGGCGAACGTTTACATCTCAAGGTCGAACACACCATCAGAAATAGGGGTTTTCTATAGCATTTTCGTCAGTACAAGCACGTTTGATCTTATATATGCAATTTCGAACCATATTAAAGGATTATTTTTAAAGGCAAGCTCAAAAACATTTTAAGGAAATAATATTGCACAATCTGTATATGCCCGAATGTGTCCCACTTTAAAATGCCGAATGTACCCCGAATGTACTTTTTATAGTTTTTTTCATTTTTTTCGATCAGTTCTGTAAAAAACATTATATTTTTAAATATTTCTATAATAATACCCATCGTAGTTAACCACTTTTTTATAATATTGTCTTAAAAATTTAAAAAGTTATACACGAAATACTTACGAAATGGAATTGAAATATTACAGAAACATCTATAACCAGTAAGGAAAGTAGAAAAGTCGGGCGGGGCCGACTATATGATACCCTTCACCACTTTGGGTATATTCAACAGATGAATGCTAATAGACGTCGAATTCTGCAACCTATACTAAATTTTTCATTTGTTCAGATATACGGTTGCTTCTTACAATGGGACAAAATTACCAAAACTCGGCAGAAAATATATATAGAAGCTCTATCAAAATCTGAACCGATTTCTACACTTTCCAAATTTCAAAACTTTAGAACGTTGTGCAAAATTTGTGTCAATTTTGTGTAAAATTGGACGAAAATATATATGTAGAAGCTATATCAAAATCTGAACCGATTTCAATGAGAATGGCAGAGATTATCTTATATTAACTTCTGTATTGTACATAATTGTGTGGCAATCGGACAAACTTTGGGTCTTTAGTGCACAATTTACATAAAATCGGAAGCAAAAATATATAGGAGCTATATATAAATCTCATTTC